GAAAGCAGTCCAGGACGGCCCAAAGCTTTGGGACCCTGCACCAGTGTGGGATACCTGGAAGAGGTTCCTGGTTCCCGACCTCGGATTGGCGCAGTACCGGCCATTGCGCTCACTTGGGGAGTGAATCATTGGACGGAAGATCTTCCTGTCTGTCTCTCCTCTTCTCTGTATGTGAGTTTGTAATAAAAATAAATCTTAACACACACACGCGCACAATGCCATAGTCCAGAAAAAGTAAATGAATTAAATCCAATATTTTTTACATTTTTGTAGATACATTTAAAGTAGAAAAAGCTTCAAACATGAAGTTCCAGGTCCAGCACCGTAGCATAGTGGCTAAAGTCCTCACCTTGCATGTGCCAGGATCTCAGAATCCCATATGGGCTCTGGTTCATATCTTGGATGCTCCATTTCCCATCCAGCTCCCTGCTTATTACCTGGGAAAGCAGTAGAGGATGGCCCAAAGCCTTAGGACCCTGTTCCTGCATGGGAGACCCAGAAGAAGCTCATGGCTCCTGGCTTTGTATTGAATCGGCTCTGGCCATTGTGGCCATTTGGGGAGTGATCCAACAGATGGAAGGTCTTTCTGTCTGTCCCTCCTTCTCTCTGTAAATCCGACTTTCCAATAAAAATAAATAAATCTTAAAAAAAAAATGAAGGTACCAAAAATTCCCATAAAGGATCCTTTTTTCAAGTCTTTTAGGTAATTTTGTTGAAAAGTTAACAGCTCTACTAGAGATAAAGAAGCCAATATTTTCCAAAAACAAATTAACAATTAGCAATCCACACACTAATACACCAAGAGGTGGGAAAAATGTGTATTACCACAAACCCCTAGACACCTCCTGGAACAAGTACATAGATGTTCAAGAAGCTTAATTTAATGCAAAGCACATGCCATTTTAAAAGAACACAAGTATAGAGACTATGGGAATTATTGCACTAGGAAAATATTCAAATAAATAAAAAGTGATATAGTTCCTGGGAATCTTTCTGCCTGGAAACTTACACTGAAAAACACTATTCTCCCTACACCCTAGTCTCTACAAGCAAAAGCCTACCAAGGCTCATCTGTGTAGGTAGTCTGCTCTGCTTCACAACCATCAACATCTTTACTGCCAAGGATACAGATCCAGCCTACAGTCGTCAAAACAAAGAGAATTCCTCTGCAGAGCTGTGCATCAACAACCGTGTGCACTGTCTGGGCAGGCAGGGGTAGTGCGAAGCAGCCAAGCACTCCAATCTCAGCACCTCTCTCAGGAAACACAATATGCAGGACGACACAGTTGTTGATGAACAACAATGACATGTTGCTGTGGAATGATAGAATTTGTAAAGATGATAAGGAAATACCTAAAAAACAAAAGAGAAGTATTTGAAATCCACTGGTCACAGTTTTACAACTGGCAAATTTGATTAACATAGCACACACCAGTTAAAAAAAAAAAAAGGAACCACATTTAGTCCAATTCTAGGCAACTGTTGCTCACCTAAGCCAGTGGTCAATCAAGGGAAAGTCGGTATACAAATGGCCTACAATGACTGAAGCACATCAGAAGATAGATTTTTTAAAAAAGCCAAATTACCCCCTGGGAGCCCATAGAAACAGATTTTTAAAAAAAGAAACAAATAAGAAGAACCTTATAACCTATGGTCAAAGGTAGAGAATGCATTGGGTCTTACCAAGGACTCAATGCTCTGAATTCTTTTGGCCATCAAAACAAGAATGCTGAACAGCTTTGTAGCCAGACAAGATCTGTACCATCCAACCGAAACATACCACAAAAGCAAGTCACATATATTTTACTTCTTTGAGTAGCCACACTGAACCAGGGAGCATTTAGCTCTCTTACATTACATGAACCACAGTTCAAGTGTTCAATGTGGCAAGTGGTTCCAGTAATACACAATGTAGACCTGTGATTTCCCTTTTAGGAGAACACCTAAAGTCACGTGGTAACGGCACCTACAGATACTTACTGATACCTTGCTCTTCAAGGAGCCTTTGCAGTGCAACCCTACCACAGCCATCAGAAGCAGCAGCGTCACATCCTCCATCTTTCAGATCAAATTCATAGACAAACAGCTCACAATTTTTACTAACAGCGAGCAGTTTGGGCTTGTCTGTTGGTGCACTGTTACGACAATCCTCCCAAACAAACCTAAAGGAAAAATTTAGACTTATATTAAGAAGTAATTCCTATTGACAGGGTGAGAGTGAAGCACAGAAGGAGCAAAGAAGGGTTCAGTTCACCTAGTAGCCTTAATCCTGCACCCCAGCTGAAGGGAACATAAGTCCTTCCAGGACTTCCTCCTCTCCCCTTGGTTTCCTCATTTCTCCTTCTGCTTCTCCATACTAAACAATTAGACAAGAGTGGGTGCTGACAGCTTTCATTCCTTTCATTTTAGATCCTAATGACCTCAAAAGAACTGTCCCGATCAAGGGTCTCACCAGACACAAGTTACCTGAATGAGGTGGGACTCATAATGAGCAAAATTGGCTTCTGCTGACCTTGATGCTTTCAAAAACTCTTTAGCAGTAACTAGTTGTATCTACAGACTGAGTTTATTGTAAAGTTAGTATCCAACAGAAGCTTCTCTGGTGATGAAGGGGTTCTTTGCCAGTGGCACCCAAGAAAGACGCCAAGAGCCAGGTGCGGCTGAGCATTTGAAACGTGGGTCCGTAAGGTGTAAATTTTTCATTTAAAATTTTAATACATATAACTAATCACTACCATGTTGCATAGCTCGGTTTCAGAATGTCTAAAGCATTATATCAAAATACAGACATGGGGTAACAAGATGGAAACTAATGATGCCATAACTAAGTATTAAAATTTACATTTTAAAAAAGGGCTAAAATCTGAAAATGTTGCAAAAAAATGCTCATGAAATTCATCTTTCAAAACCCTTTTTCTATAGAACTGGTTTATATCCCCAAAAATAACCTTAAAAAAAACTCACGTTTCTGACTTCATACACTATTTTCATTAATAAACGATTTTGTGTGCTGTATGGAAAGTGTAGAAAACCACCTAAATGCCAACTACAGAAAGGCTGCAGACACACTAAAAGGCAAAACATTGTGCCACTAAAATTGTTAGCATGTAAAGTACACGACCACATGGAAAGACACTGGGGTCTTCAAATACTATATACTATCGTGTATAATACTATATAGTATAATTTCAACACTATAGAAAGGATATATATATACTTTGAAAAAAAAACCCACACATTTGTTCTTATATTATTTTAAAGTGAAAGAAAAGTTCTCATCTCAAATTTCATAAATTGCCATTATTTTGCACGTAGTCTCCTGTTACATTCTCAAAGATTTAAAGAGTTCTTTTCTCTCTCCCACTCCTTTCTTTACAAAACCGCACTTATAGGTACTAATCACCGTCGAATAAACTCACTTTTCTTGTAGGATTCTTCTCCCTAGCAGCTAGGAATTAAATACAGGGATACCACGCGTAGAGAAGCAAGAACTCGCTGATTTAACGATCTAAGAAGTAGCTAGAGCCATGGCACCTGGGAAATCCATAACGAGTAAGGCGCGTCTTGGCTGGCTTTTCCAAGTGACAGCCAACAGTTTCTGAAATAGTTTGTTCTTAAAAGAGCCCAAACACTCAGGGGACCTTCCCCAAGTACCATGTAAACTTTAAAGTCTTGGACTGAGTTAGAGAAGTGGAAACCGGCTCATTATGTTTCTGCCTTCCCGAATCACGTGAGCGTCACACGTCAGAACTGTATCTTTCTCAGCTGTTTTGACGCTGCTCAGGTGCGTATTAGTTCACCGATTCAGCCAACGGGTAAAATGAATCGTCCCTGAAGCGGGTGGAAGGAGGCTGTGTATTAAGAAAGACCTTGTGTATTAAGAAAGACCTATCAAGTCGGTTTGAGGCGGTTTCTAGCTGGCGTCCTTAGCCGATTTAACTCGGCACCGTGGCACCTGTGCGGAATGAATGACCGACCTCGCGAGCAGCTAGCTAGCAGATGACCCGGGCAGCAAACGTGAGGAGCAGCAGCGAAAGCCTTCTCATCCACCGCTCCCGGGACGCAGGCTGGACAGCGGACGGGGGGCCTCGACTCCGAGGCGTCCTCTCCCGCCCGCCCCACGCCAGGAGGACGGCAGGCGGCCACCCCTCCGGGTGCTGACCAGGCAGCGCGTCCCCTCCCACACGGCCAGTCCTCCCGCAGCACTTACTGCTGGAAGGGGCCCTCGAGGCAGCAGCCGGCCCCGCCGCCCGGGGCCAGCGACAGTACTTGCAGGCTGCCGGCCGCCGTCAGGCTCCCGAGAGCCTCCTGCTGCCGGTGCAGCTGCGCCCGGGAGCCCAGCCGCCGCCGCGCCTCGGCGGGGACCGGCACCAGCAGCACGGGCAGAACCCGCTCCATCGTCCCGAGCCCGCCGCTGCAGCCGGCGGACTCGGCACTTCCGGGTCCCTGCGACGCAGACATTTTGGTTCATGAGTTTCTTCCGGTCACCTGAGTCAGACAGGCCAAGAACCTGCGTTGTGGGCATGCGCAGTGCACCGAGAGGCTCGCGCTCCGCGTTGTAATTTTGTTGGGGTGGATGCAGCTGGGCTGTCAACGCCGTGGGATTTGCCCCCCTCCCACACCTGACTTCACTCATCTTAACTACTTAAGCCGGTCCTGGCGTTACAGCTTGTTGCTTGTTCCCTAAGGCTTTTAGCACGGTCTTCTACGTCTAGCTGGTTACCTCACTTTGCTTTTCTTACCATGATTTACTGGGTTACAGGCTCTGGGGTGATAGTTTTCTTGGAAAAGTGGACTAAGTCTTACAGAGAGCGCTGACATGAATGTAATCCGAATTCATCCCAACAGAGAGACCACGCTGCAAGGAACAGTGATGGAATTCCTATTATTCTTAAGAGGGGTGTGGTCCATGAACCCAAGCAGAGGAAGAGAAGAGCAGGCCTTGCATTTTCCTCTTTATTAAGAGGAAACAGCATTTCCTGTTCCAGGGGAGCTATTAATATCCAGACCTCTTAGCTCTAGCTGTTTTCTCTTTATAAAAATTGGCAACATTGAAGCAAGTTCTGAGAGGATACTAGACTTATCCCTTATTAAACGGACAATTCAACAGCAATCACACATTAAGAAGGCTTCCATTATAAATCCTACCTTACAAACAGATTTCAACACATCATTTCTGTTACATCTTTAATTGTACCTTTTTATGCCATAACGTTAGGCACATTATTTGGGTTTTTGAAGAAAGGATATGAACAGGTTTGGGGCAAGGTCCTCCACATCTTAAGGCGTAAGGATTGTCTTTAGGTTCTCTGAATCCCTTTAGGCCACCTCATACCACCTGTGTCTGGTGGTGGTTCTGGAATACGTAGATGGAGAAAGCTTCAACTGATCAACAGACCCAGGCCAGCCTGTGAAGAGAGCAAGTGTGAACTGCAAGCAGCATTCTGTTTTCCAAGTATTTTAGGTTCAATAATAAGTGTTCTCTTTCTTGCCAGTGACCCCACAGTATGCAAGCTTCTACAGACACTTGAGTTTATGGAAAAGTGGAGAGAAAAGGTAGATTTAGGGGCCAGTATTTGCCATAGCAATTGGGTAATCTGCATCCCCTATCATAGTGCCTAGGTTTATGTTCAAGATCCAATTCTGATTTCAGCTTCCTGCTAAGGCCCACCGTAGGGGGGCAGCAAGCAATGATTCAAATGGTTGGGCCCCTACCACTCATGCACAGGATCCAGAGGCAATTCTGGACCTCTGACTTTGACCTGGCTTAGCGCATGTTGTAATGGGCATTTGGTAAGTCAACCATCAACTGAAAGATCCACTTCACTCAGTCTCCATGGCTTTCAAACGAATTTTGTAGTTTATTCAAGCACAAGATTTTTTGAAATCCATGCACATTTTTATAACATGCATTAAAATTTTTTGAAGACCCATCATATCTTGAAATAGCTGTCTCAGATATTTCTTAAAATTCTTGTCCTCAGCTAACTTAGTGATGTAAAAAACTGAAGTACCCTGGAATAAATTAAAAGGTTTGGCTGGAAACCTTTTAGTTTTAAATTAGATTAAACTTGGTTTTAAGTTTAAATTTAAATGTTTGGTTGGAAACAGGGCTCAGAATAAAATGCCAGTGTCTCCAGAACTACTGGAGCGCATGGTCCTCCCTGCTCAGTTTAAAAACAAGAACCAAGATCTGACTCACTCCATCCTAGCTTCTAGCTGCTGAACCAGTTGTTTGTCCACATGATGACAGAACAGGGGAAGCAGGTTGCTTGGGAAGGCTAGTGGTTCCGCCAAAGAAGCTGTAGGCATTTGGGCTATCTCCCAGGCAATCAGAACCACCATGTCTGTCCTGGAAGGCAGAGAAGAAAGGTATCAGGGCCTTAACAGACCACGGGGTGGGGCACAAGTTTCCTTATATCCTCTACCACCATTGGCACTGCCCCCATGCCCAGGTAACAAGTAGTATCATTTGCATATTTGGTATGTGCCAGGCAATGCTTGATGATTTACATTGGTACCTTTTTGTTTAATCCCTAGTTTACAGCTATGGAAACAAACTAAGCAGAAAAGTAACTGCCCCCAAAGTTTTACCTTGCTGCCAAATAAAAGTCAGAATTCAGATCTGTGTGTCTGACTAAATTACCTTACATTACTTCCCAGGGGAATCCAGTACTGTAGGACAGTATGGAAAGGAAGATGTAAAGAAAAAAATGAAGGACAGATGCCACCCCATTTCTCCCTTTACTTCTCAGCCTCCTCCCCAATATGAACATGCTGCTCAGGAGGTAGCCTCCTTTGGCTCAGCCCACATCCCAGGAAATACCAACAAGGCCCTTGTAATCTTACCAACTTGTGTGGTCACTGTTAGGTTTCTCTAGAGAATTATCCAGGGCTATCAGCTGCTCCCCATGACTCAGCAGAGCATACAGCAGAGATATTCCAAACTGCAAGTGACAGGGGAGTTCATTCCAGACATTTAGGGCTTCCCTAAAGGGCAGGTCCCTATTGACAAGTTGGGTCCAATACCACCACCCCTGCCACCCCAAGCCTTGCCAGGCTCTGCCTGGCTACTCCAAGGGCTCTCAAGGCCCTTCCTAAGTAGTCTGAACTTTTCAAATGCTGGTGAGGGCAGATTAGAGGCACAATCCCAGGCTCCAGCCTCAGGGAGCAGTCTATAGATAGAGAATGGATTTAGGAATTCAGGTTTAGTGGAACATGGTTTAAGCAGCACTTTTCAGCATTGAATATACAAGGAACCCACTGGATATTTGAAGACCATCAGAATTTTAACACCTGGCACCACATCCTTTTAACTTGCCATTTTGTATTTGCTACATGCCTAAGGTTACACACGGGTTACACACAGGAACGTGAGAAAGTCATTTATGAACACACAGAATGGGTGCTTTGGCTCAAAATTTCTCACCAGAAGCTGAGAAGTACTGCAGAGGATGAGATTCATAGAGACTAGAAGACTCTTGTACCATTTTCTTACCAGTGTTACCATATATCATCCATGGAGAGAGAAAAGCCGCCAAGCTGTGTTACCTGGTTCTGAAGCAGCACAGTGATTGGTCGTTCCGAGGAGCTGGCTGGCAGCAACGTGAGTCCTTGAAGCCCTTGGAGGAGTTCGTGGAAGGTTAGGTAACTGATCCATTTGCCCAGAGGCTTGAACAGCATTTGCAAGGCCTGCAAAAAGGTCAGAAAGCATGTCTCCTTCTGTCCACTGCAGCTTCACCTCCTCCTGCCCTAGCTTTGGCAGCTTCTTGGTGAGGTCACTTGCCTGACATATCACTGATGACTCTTTCCCTAACACCTGCTTGTTCTACAAGGTCCTCCCAAAAAAGAGTGGATAAGGTATTCCAGCATTGTAGCACAGCTAGTAAAGCTGCTGTTTGTAATGCTAACATCAAGGGCCAGTAAGAGTCCCAGCTGCTCTGCTTTTGATTCAGCTCCATGCTAATGCTTTTGCAAGAGATAGCCCAGGTGCTTGGACCATGTGGTAGACCAAGACAGAGTTCTAGGCTCCTGACTTCAGTCTGGCACGTTAGTCATTTAGGGGAGTTTACTAGCAGATGGAAGAGATCTGTCCCTATTATTTCACTTTTCAAATAACTAAAAATAGGTATGGAGTTCAGTGCTCATCAGGGATCCTATCTTCTTTCAGACCACCACAGCACACCAGTGCCTAGACAACTCTGCATCTGTTCATTGTGCTAGAAGGTGACCCACTGATCCTGCAGTAGTTAGTTCTGCAGCTTCCTCACCTGAGGATGTAGGGCTGCATTCCCTTACCACCTTTGTCACACAGTACTTCTGAGCAGCGGAGAATAAAGGAGAGGAAACCTTGCTAACCTGTCCAGGAGATTATCCTCTCCGCCCAACGACACAGTACCTGGTCAGTCACATCCCTCCGGACCAGGAGGGGCAGATGGTGGGTGATAGTCAGAAGCAGGCTGACAGCCCGATCCCGAGGCAGAAAGGGGAGCAGCCGGGCCACTAGGGCTTTCCCCTTCCTCACTGATAGCACCTGCAGGATGCTATCTGCCACCTCCCTGCAAAGCAGAGTAGAGAACATTGTCTACATGCTCAGAAGGCTACCTGCAGGAGGAGAAACATGGGACAGTGGGAGATGCCAAGGCATCTCTACTCATTCTCCTCACTACTCCTTTTCACTCACTACCTTCCCTCTACTCACTCCAAGTTGTTCTGCCCCTGGGTCCTGAGGGCCTGGAAGAGCTTCTCAACTTGGTCGCTATGCTGCTCAGAGCAGAAGGGCTGTGAGAGCCCATCCTTCTGGCCCTCCTCGATCTCCAGTAATTGCAGGAACATCTGGGAATTTTGCAGGTAGGAGAAGAGGAAAGAGGTCCATTTGCACCATACCCCATTGTCAAGAACAAGTTAAGAGGTCATTCCCAGGGGACTCCTCACCTTCTCGATCCGATGTAAGAGCCGAAGCCTCTGGCTGCTTGCAGCTCCTGTATCCTGGAATAAGACAGCCCATCACCTTCATCACACCATCAACCCAGGCCTCCAGCTACTCAGGCATAGAGTTGGAAAGGCTAGACACAAAGCCCAATCACACAGCTTCCTTACTTTAAGTCACAGTTTGAACCCAAACCTGACAATGTTTCAGATTGGAATTCCAGGGAGAGAAAGCATTCTAGGAAGGTGGCACCCCTACCTGCTCTTGAGTTCCATGGGGTACGGCGTCAATAGCTCTGCGAGGGCTGAAGCATGTTGACACAGCAACTTGGCCCAGAGAACCCTCAATGCGAACCACTGCAAGGGAGGAGTAGAGAGAGGACCATTCCCCTCCCTGTCCCACTCCCTCTGCATGCTCCAGGATCTGTCCCAAGCCAGCAATTAGTCCTAGCCCCACCTGATTCATAAACCTCTGCCTTCTGAATGTAAGGTGTTTCCAGCTTGAGAGATTCCAACTGGCTCCTCTGTCCCAGTAGCTCTTGGTCTGCCTGCTTCTTCTCTAATTTCCGATAATATTCCTGAGAGTCCATGGAATGGGGTGGGAGAGGGAAATAGACTAAGCTTAAAATCCCAACTTTAGAAGATGATTATAAGATTCTCAAGTGCAACCTTTTAAAATACCCTCTCTGGGACTGGTGCTATGGAATAGTGCATTAAGCTACCTGCTCCAAATCAGGCATCCCACAGAGGCATCAAGTCCTGGCTGCTCCACTTCTGGTTCAGCTTCCTGCTAATGTCTCTGGGAATGCAGCAGAGTATGGCACAGTTGCTGGGACCCTTGCACCCATGTAGGATTATAGAACTGGCATCTAAGCCAGTTCTTGCTTCTGCAGATTAATCAGTTGTATCATCTTTTTAAAACAAGTTGAGGGCCCAGTGTAATGTTTTGATGGGCTAATCCTCTGCCTTGCAAGTGCTGGGGTCCCTATGGGATCCAGTTCATGTCCTGGCTACTCCATTTCCCTTCCAGCTCCCTTCTTGTGGCCTGGGAAAATAGCAGAGAATGGCCCAAAACCTTGAAAATCTGGGCTCACTTGGGAGACCTGGAAGAAGCTCCTGGCTTCAGATTGGCACAGCTCCGGCCATTGCAGCCATTTGGGGTGTGAACCATTGGATTGAATATCTGTCTCTGTAAATCTGCCTTTCCAATAGAAATATATCTTTAAAAGAAAAGTTGAGAAATCTTTAACCAAAATAAAGCCACTACTTACAAATTGAGAGTTGAATGAAGCACCCTCATTTAGGGAACCAGGTCTAAAGACAAGAAAATGACAGCTGTTTCATCCCAGAGATCTTGGCAGAAACGGGAGGGATATTTTTGGAGCGCAGTGGGGAGAAAAATTACCATATCTAAGGAAATTGGCAGGGAGCTCATAGATGTTGAAATCTACACAAAAACCTGTGGACCAAGGGCACCCAGACTTGTTCCCTAAATAAAAGAGGCATAAGAAGCCAAGGAAATTGAATCAAAATGTCTGTCAGCATTCATTCAATTCAACAATTTCATTGTGCATAAGATCTGCATGTTTTTAGTTAAAGTCAAAAAGTAGTAGCTGGAGTTGTGGCACTGCAAGTTAAACCACCACTATTGTCCTGATTTGAGTCCATATGAGTTTGAGTCCCAACTGCTTCATTTCCAATCCAGCTTCCTGCTTAATCACCTGGAAATGGAGCAGAAGATGGCCCAAACACTTGGGCCCTGCCAACTATGTGGGAGACCTGGATGGAGTTCCAGGCTCCTGGCTTCATTGCAGCCTATCTGGGGAGTGAAAAAAATCTTTCTCTGCCACTCTGCCCTTCAAATAAATTAAGTTAGCTTTTTTAAGAACAGAGTCAATGGGAGTCAATATAACAGATATTTCTAGGACCCAAAGTATGCAGTAGTGAAAAGTAGTTAAAAGTCCCCATTTCCAGGGTGTGTACTGAAACTCATGAAAAAGGAGAGAGAACCTGAGTGTTTCCAAAATGTTGAATAACTGACTCCACCTGGTGGAAACAGAATGGAAGTGAGTGCGTTTGGAATGCCACCTAGGACCCACCATCAGTGGTGACCATGATTCTCAGCTAACAAACATGGCTGCTGTGTTAGGAAAGGATGAGAGGGCTGCCAAGGGTGGCTCCCAGGTCCTGCAAAGGAGCATCTCAGAACTCACCTGGTAGTAGTAGTCATCCAGGCGGAGGTTCTCACTCTGCAGCTGAACCATCTGCACTTTTATCACCCAGTCCTTCTCCTTCCTGGTCATTAGGTTAGCATAGGGGTCTGGCTGCTGGGACCAAGACTTCTTGGCGGGAGGACTTGAAGCAGAAGGAAAATCCCTTTAGACGCCTCTCCTTCCCTTCCCCCGTGAACTTCCCAAGGGGTGCAGAGCAGGTAGTGGAGTTGGGGGAGAAGGGAGGAGTCCCACCAAAGCAGGGGCTTTGCAGGGAATATCTTGCATGCCCATTGGCTCCTCTCCACCCTATTCCTGCCCTAGGATTTACCTTGGGGTTCGACTCTGCTGCTGCTCCAGGACGAGTTGGTGCTGAGGGTGGAGCTGGGTCAAATGACTGGGAAGGCTTCAGAAGAAATTGGGGCTGCTTGGAAGAAAGTACTCCCACTCCCCCACTCCCTCCTCATTTCAGCCCCTGCTAAGCACAGTTTAATAGCTAAGGTATACACACAGCACACCTGTGCCTGTAGCGCCACCAACATCAGCCACTGGGAACGCTCAACCTCACCCCTGAGCTGTGTTCTGCTGTCTGGCTGCAGGAACCTTGACCTGGGTTATGGCATGTTTTCAGTCCTAGTTCCTCATACTCACTGACTTGTATTTTTAATTTTTTATAACTTCCTTACCCATGAGGGAGAAGGGACTGGGCATTTATCTGACTTCTGTTCCTAAATCTACTTTTCTGTGACTGCCGATAGAGGCGCACCCACCCCCCTGGAGACCTTGAGTCAGGAACTCAGGGTGCCCCATGTTGGTGTCCCCAGGACCCTGAACCAGTACCTGGACAGCCCTGAGGTCAATGGGCCGCAGGAGAGAGACAGGTCTGATGAGGCCAGGTGAGGTCCAAGTTGCCCAGCTGATGAGCCAACACTGGGAAATGTAGGCTGCAACGGGATTGCCAAGGGGTGGTCCAAAGTCAGAGTGGAGCTAGGAGATGTAGGAAAAGCCATGCCACTGAGAGTGGCTCAGGCCACCAAGGCTCGGTCTCTTTGCTACTTCTACATTCTCACCTCCCGCCTTTCCCCTGAAAGAGCTTCACCCATCATTTTTGCAAAGTCAGTTGTGAGGCCATCAGACTGTGGTCCTGGCCTGTCTGAACAGTTTGTTATCCCTTGGGAAGCAGCTGTTCAGTTTTTGACAACATCGGTAACAGGTGCTTTTCCTAACTGCCTGGGAAGTTAATACTTCCAGCTCCCTTCTCAGGCTCGTGCGTCTGCAGCTACAGTGCTCCTGTTTTGTTGTTGGTTCCCCCCTCCACCGGGATTCCCCCCAAAGCCCTCCTCAGCACTATCATTTCCTTCTGGTTCTCCCTTGCAGAATTTCCCAATTTTCAAATTCCTCCACCCTAAGCCATGTTTTCATTCGGGAGTTAACTGAAGGGCAGGTGATCTCTCTTCAGCCCTGCATTCAGGGCATCTCATCTGCCGAAATATTTTTAGGAGCAAGGATCTTAGTTCTTTCTCATATGAATGGCTACTTGCGCCCCTACCACTAAGTGCACCCATGCCCCCTAGGCTGCAGAACATCACTGTCCTTTTCCAGTCCCCCCTATATGTTGAGGTGACACCCACTTCTCACACGTATACCTCACTTTCAGGGCAAGATCAAGGACCAACTGAACAGAATGGAAATGGGGATTCTCGGCATGTAATCTACCCCAGCACCCAGATGTCTTTCCACAGGATGGAGACCACAGCAGACTCACCTGCCACATGGAGTACAAGAAGGCAGGTGGCTTTCATGCCAGGAGAGCTGAGCAGCCCTCTCTGGTATGAGAAGAAAACCCACATTCACCTGTGTCATGAGAATGTCAGAGAGAGCGACAGGATCAGCCATTTCCAACTCCTAGGTCAATGACACCTGACTCCTTATCATTCAAAGTCAACTGGCCCAGTATCTTTTACTCCAAGAGGAAGCAACACTAGCATCTCAGAAGAGGTGGCAGGAAGGTCCACATCACATGCCTAGGAACCCTCATCTATTCCTCATCGGCTGTGAGAACCCAAGGGAGTAGCCTGGAGTAACCACGGGGGCCCAGTGGAGCCAAAGATGAATCCCTTTGACCATCAGTAGCAGGGCTCTGACAGGACCTGGCTGTAAGTTGATGAAGGCTCTAGAAACTAAGGAGACAGGATGAAATGGGAGAGGAAAGAGTCTCCGAGTTAAGCTTGAAACAATTCATGAGAACCTGTCTTAGTGAGGAGTGTGGAAGAGGAGAGGGATGTTTAACCATAGTCTGTGAGCTATTCGTTAAGGCACCTTCTCCCATCCCCTCCCCACCATGCTACCTGTGTCTTTGGGGCAGCACTGACTGTAGCTGGAGCCCCAAGGTCACTTTCTTCCTTCTCTTCCTCCGGGTGCAGGGCCAGGTCTGGATCTTCCACCTCTTCATCCTCCTCTTCCTCTGCTTCCTCTTCATTCTGCTCCTCTTCCTCCGGTTGGGAGATGGACACCAGCTCTTCCGTAGGAGCCAGGGATCCACGGGATTTGCCTGGCCCTTGATTCAAATGTGGGCCTATGGGGGAGGCAGAACGCAGCTCAGGGGTAAAGCATCTCACAGGGAGTGACCATTACAAAACCACACTTCTGTCCACGAGTATCCCCCTTGCCATCCCCACACTGCAGTCTCTACCTCCCTAGTCCAGGGTACCCCTCTGCCCTGTCCTCACCCCCAAAGCAAACGGTATCAGCAGCTTCAGGCATTTTCACTTTCCACCTCCCTTCTCAGTGGCCCCACTAAGAACCACAAGCTTCTCCATCTGCCTCTCCTAATCAACAGTTTCCCCTTGTTGCCTCTTTGATTGAATGAGTTCCAGTTGCCCCGACTCTGAGGACTCTGATGACTGTGTGCCAAGTATTTAGCTTGGAGGGGAAGGGAGAAGGTGCCTTAAGTAGTTTGCAGCTCTCAGACATCCCTCTCCTCTTCTACATTCCTTACTAAGACAGGTTCTCATCAACCAGGGCTGCTGAGGCTGTTGAGGATTTGCCTACTCTGGTGAGGAGAATCAAGTACAGAAGAGCGAGCTCAGGTAGCTGCAGGATGTTCATAGCAAGCTCAAGAGTGTTGGAATTACATCTGTGACTCTGTATGCCTGTGTCTGAAGCTGACCCACAGGGCCCTGCTCCCTCCTGGCTTGTCAACTGAGATGTCCCAGCCTGCTGATACCTTCAAGGCGCATCATCTCAGCTGGCTCAGGTTGGTGGAGCTGGTGGACCTCCTCCGTGGCCATGTTCTCCTGTAAGCGAGCATTGTCAGCCTCCAAAAGGTAAACCTGGGATAGGGAAGAGACTCCGAGAGACCCTCCTCCCTGGTCAGTGAAGATGGGTTGGTACCCCTTAAACAGCCACGGTCTCCTCCCAACCAGGTGGGCAGGGAATCATTGGCCTTAAGTCTCATGGAAGCTCTAAGATCATAAACTCGCTCCCTCCCAACCTCTAGGAAGCTGGTCTACCAAGGAACAGAACAAGGTAGGGATGAGTTGGAAGAGAAGCACCGGAAACCACCAGCCACCATCTGTGCAGTGAACCCATGGCTGAAACCCACCGGCTGACTGTTGCAGTCCTTTCCACTTGGAGTAGCCATGGCAGCGTGGGTCAAGGCCAGCTGGACAGCCCTGGCTTTTAAGAGTCTCAGCTCCTCCCCTGTTCTTCATTAAAGGGCCAGCACCCCCCCCGCCACCCCACCAACTGTGGAGTCTTAGTAGAAGAAGGAGAATGTAATCTAGTAATAAAGAAAACCCTTAAAGAGGGGGAGAGAAAGAAGCTGTGCTTTAAACCATCTGAGAAGGTGAGGATAGTTTAATGGGACTGATACTGGGTGGAAGATATTTAAAAAGAGGATCCCTGTTTCCCACACCTTTCCTATGAACCCTGTGAGGTTGCATTCCACTTAAGCCCTGGGTTTTGCTCCAACATCACTGCACAGGGAATCCCTGGCTCGGTCTGGGGAGCTTGTCTGGCACCCACATTCTTGGAGCTTTAGAACAGTGGCGTTGATGCTCCCTCAGCTGTGCCTGATGCTGTTCGCCTCGCCCTGCACTGGCTCCCACGAGCTTATGTTGGTTACCCGCCCCCAACCCTCCCATTCTCACTGATGTGGAACACTTGTGAATTTAGGCGAGTACTAGGTGAGATTTAAAAAGCACACACTTGTATCTTTTAGTTACTATAATGGAAAACTGGGTTGGAAGTTCAGGATTAAAAACAAAAAAGTTTCAGGAGTAAAAAAAACCAGTGCATCACTCCTGTTAGTAAGCAAATCCTAAGATCACCAGAGCCTCATCTAATCCTTAAGTGATCCTGGGTTCTGTGCCCACATCCTGTGTTCAGCTAACACCCCTACTTCTCTGTAGAACTTCTGAGTAGAAACAAAAGCTGAGATCATTTCCTCAAAATAAAAGTCCCATGGCCTCAAAAAAAAATTTTTTTTTTTGTTTCTGAAGTTTTGCTACAGGCTGAACAAATTTAAGTTGACTGAAGGTTATTCATGAACTTCAACCATCTAAATTGGGTTTAGGTGTTTCTGCTAATGTCATTCAGCTGTTTGTCCCCAAGCACTTCATAATAATTGACTTCAGTATGATTAACAAACAACAATAACAACAACAACAAAAGCCCAGACAGCGTATTTCAGGGTTCCAGAAGGGTTTCATCAGGTTTGTGTAGAGACCAGGGTTCAGGGAGAAACACTTGTTAACATGCAGACTTTCATTCTGAAAGGATTTCCTGTGTCAGCACCAAAGGGGGTAACCGAGGGCTTAGAGTTTGAGATCACAACCTGGAGTGTTATACCACAGAGGTGAAGTGGTGGCTTGGGACACTCACGGCCCATATTGGAGCACCTAGCATCTAGTCCTGCCTCTGCCCTAGCTTGCTGCTAATATACCTGGGAGGCAGTACATGCTGATGACTCCCACATGGGAGCCCTGGATGTAGTTGCTGGCTTCTAGCTTCTGCCTGGCTCAGCCTTGCAGGCCTTGGAGGGAGAGAGGAGTACAAGTAGATAGAAGGTGGATCTTTGTCTTTCCTTCTCTCTCTCTGTTGCTCTGCATTTCAAATAACTAAGTATGTGAGTAGGTAAATAAATAAGTAAATTGACTTGTGAAAAAATCAACAGCCCTGACTGAAGCCTTAGGACCTACAGCCTTTGTGAAAGTTCTCTACCCTTGCCTCAAGTCTCAGAAATCTACTGGGCTCCTAGATCTTCTAGCTTTCCTGCCATAACTCCAGGCAAAGTTTAACTAAACCAAGACTGTTCCAGTCTTGGGAGATGATGGAAAATAAAACAGTTGCTTTCCAAGGCTTCTTAGAGCTTCCTGCAGAATCGGAGATACAGACAGGTACACAGGATTGCAGAACCAAATAAAAGTACATTAGAAAAGTACATATTGGGCCTGGTGCTGTAGCCTAAGTGGCTAAAGTCCTCACATTGCATGTGCCAGGATCTCATATGGGCACTGGTTCTAATCCCGGCAGCGCCACTTCCCATCCAGCTCCCTGCTTGTGGCCTGGGAAGGCAGTCAAGGACGGCCCAAAGCCTTGGGACCCTGCACCTATGTAGGAGACCTGGAAGAAGCTCCAGGCTCCTGACTTCGGATCAGCTCAGCTCCGGCCATTGTGACCACTTGGGGAGTGAATTATTGGACGGAAGATCTTCCTCTCTCTCTTCCTCTCTGTATATCTAATTTTGCAATAAAAATAAATAAAACTTTTTTTTAAAAGTATGTATTTATTTTTGCTAAATAAGACATCTAATAACTATCCTGATTTTCTGGGGAAATTAAAAAAAGTTCTTGCAGTTTTTTTAATGGCTTTGGACCTACTCCAATTTTCATTTTCTTCTTCAGTCAATTTTATTAAGTGATACATCTAGGAATTTATCCATTTGTTGTAAGCTTACTAATTTGTTGGCATAAAGCTATTTATGCTTTAGGAGCGCCTGAAGAAGCCACTGCTGCATCTGGACTTTGCCCCCTTCTCATTCCTATCACTACTTACCATCTTCTCTTTTCCTCCTTTCCAGAGTTCACTTATTTTACTTTTTTTCTTCCCAGAAACTGCACATAAGTGAGTGTATTCAGGAAACAGAGAATACATTCACATGGGCTCTTTGAAGCAGAATTTAATCCAGAGATCATTTATAATGATTTAGAAAGAAACCAGTGAAATCACAACGATGAGCAAGTCCTGGGGCTAGTCAAAGTTGGGTGTAACCACTTTCAGGAACGGCGGAAGGGAGAGCGTGGTGAGCAGAACCTGGAAGCAGAGAAGGCTGCCCACTGCATCACGCGGGCTGTGGTGCCTACTGTATCGTGTGGGCTGTGGTGCTGACTACGTCATGTGGGCTGTGGTGGTGGCAGTCTTCTCTGAACGACAGCCCTTCTCCTTGGACCTGGATCTCCTCTTTCCTCTTACCCCTTGAGAGCTAGCCTTGGACAAGGCTCCTCACTCTCCAGGCCCAGGGTACCTCACAGTGCTAAGTTTCCCTTAACCTCATCCACAGCTTGGTATCTAGTTCCTTCAGTCCTGCCCTCTCCCTGCATCATCACCCAATATGTTCTATGTTTCCTGTTAGGACCAACCATGACTGACAGGTGCTTCAACACCTGTCTGCCAGGCATCCTTAGCCCTTGTCAGCTCCCTCTCCCATGTGTCCCTCATCAATGATGCTAAAACATCAACATGTCCTCAAGTCCTCTATACAACATCCATCTCTGTACTCTCAGCAAGCAAGCTTCCCACAACCCTTTCTCCGTACAAGTGACATGTTCCCAATCTCCTGCTAGTGCTCTTCAAGCAAAGGGTGGAAGTAAGGCCCCTAGATTTGCTCTGGACACAAGCTGGTTGTAGAGAACCAGCCCTGCTTCAGATTTACCAACAACAAAAATAAGAAAAAGCCAGACTTGGGCTTGGTCTCAAAAGGGGTAAGGGGACAGGTCTAATAAAGAAAGTGGCATATAAAACAACTACAGGAAATGACCAGAGACAGAGAACTTCAGAGTTCTTTTTTTTTTAAGATTCATTTATTTTTATTGGAAATTCAGATATACAGAGAGGAGAGAGGAAGAGAGAGGAAGAGCTTCTGTTTGCTGATTTACTCCCCAAGTGGTCACAATGGCTGGAGCTGAGTCCATCTGAAGCCAGGAGCTTCTTCTGGGTATCCCAGGAGGATGCAGGGTTCCAAGGCTTTGGGCCATCCTCGACTGCTTTCCCAGGCCACAAGCAGGGAGCTGGATAAGAAGTGGAGCAGCCAGGATTAGAACCAGAGCCATTATGGGATCCCGGCACTTTCAATGTGAGGACTTTAGCCACTAGGCTACCGCACTGTGCTCTCCAGAGTTCTCAAGAACAAACCAATCAGCCTGGCTGAGAACTACAAGTGATTCTGAAAAAGTGGGCAGGATTAAAGACAACCAGATAGCCTTCCTCTTCACTGACACCTGTGCAATTTCTGTTTATGTAGAAGCCAAATCAAGCATCAAGATGCTGCTTGGAATATTGTGTTGGTCTTCTGCTGACAGCTTCACTAGGCTGAGGAAGGCCACTGGACAAGTGTCCAGTATGCAATGGCAATATGCACCTATGTATATACTGAGGAGAGGAGGATTTTCCAGAGTGTCCAGAAAATTTTGATGAGGCATCAGGAGAATGAAGCTTACTAAAGCCTTTCCTGAATTTTAGAAGCTGCTGTGTACCAGACTGGCACAACTAGTTTTGTGATTCCAAAGTTGTACTAATACAGAGAATATCACCTGTTACTAGTTCTGCCAAATGAACACTATATATGTGTTTATATAATGCTATTTGTTCAGAATTTTAAAATTTTATACACTTTAAAATAAATTTTTATAATTTTTACATATTTGATTAGGGTACAAAGGGTCAAGGGCTAGGGTAAAGTGTTTTCATATTCTCTTTTTTCCTTTCTGTATCTGGGAGGAGGGGAGAGATAGATGGAGAAGCCACATCCAGTCTCCCAATCATCCCAGGATACCTGATGTGGGGCCTGCTCCAAACAAGGGTCCTGCTCAAGTGGTTTTGCTAGTTCAACAGTTCTGTATTGCTGCTGATCTTGCCACTCCAATTGTGAAGAAATCTCTCCAGGCTCTACTGGCTGACAGTCCACGTTTGAGTTTGCATTTCCCCAGGTATTCATTGCCAAGTCTTTGTTGGGGTAGTTTATGGATTTGTTCTGTCCTCCTTTCTCTGTTATGGTACCAGGTGTCCTCTACAGGCT